GAATGTTTCCAGGGATGGGGCATCCACCACCTCTCTGGGCAACCTGTGCCAGCGTTTCATCACCCTCAGAGTAAAAAATTTCTTCCTTATGTCTAGTCTAGATCTACCCCCCTTTAGTTTAAAGCCATTCCCCCTTGTCCTGTCGCAACAGGCCCTGCTAAAACGTCTGCCGCCACCTTTTTTATAAGCCCCCTTTAAGTACTGACAGGCTGCAATCAGGTCTCCCCGAAGCCTTCTCTTCTCTAGGCTGAACAACCCCAACTCTCTCAGCCTTTCTTCATAGGAGAGGTGTTCCATCCCCCTGACCATTTTCATGGCCCTCTTCGGAATACGGCAAAGCACATGCAGTCAGGAAAGGAAAACATATTTCATCTCTCCCCAGAATTTTTTTTGAAAAAGCATGCACAGCCTCTGATGCTAGTGCTGTATACCCTTGCAGACCATAGGAAAGTCATGGAACCATAGCTCCCCCGCGGCTTCTATCGTCCTGGGACTTCCCAGCTCTCGAGAAATACAGCTTTCACTCTTCTTTCTCTTCTTAGTTCTTTATCTCATCATTCTAATAGGCAACATGATCATCAGCGTGGCTTCACATCTGGAATGTCATCTCCAACACCCATGTATTTTTTCCTGGGGTTGTCCTTCCTGGATATAACGTATACCTCAGTCACAGTCCCCAAGTTGCTCTCCATGCTGGTAAGTGGGAATCAGAGCATCTGTTTTGCCAGCTGTGTCTTGCAGTCTTATTTCTTCTTCATCCTTGGGAATAGCTGAGTGTTTCCTACATCATCCTGCAGTGATGGCCTGTGACAGATACATAGCTGTATGCTACACCCTCAGGTTACTGTGACAAGTAGAAGAACAAGCGCCCAGATCATCCTCCTTTGCTGGACTGGAGGCTGTCTCTCACCTTTGATGCCTGCCATTTTACTGACTGGTTTGCCTTTTTGCGGCTCCAGTGTAGTTAACCACTTCTGTGCTATTCTACCACTGCTGCAATTGGCATGTGTGGGCACGTATGTGATGCAAAAGTTGATACTGATACTTTCTTCTCTGGTGATTTTGAGCACCTTCCTTTCTATTGCTATGTCTTACATCTATATTGTCATCACCATCCTGAAGACCCCTTCTACTGCAGCCTTCTCCACTTGCGTTTCCCAGCTCGCGGTTCACTCATCGTTTTGTGGCGCAGGGATTTTCATGTATTTGAGTCCAACAGCAAGGACTTCCTTGAACATGACCAAAATTGTACCCGTGGCATACAGCGTGGCCACTCGCATGTTGAATCCAATGATCTGCAGCCTAAGAAATCAAGATATGAAGGCGGCTTTGAGGACAATGCTCATAAAAAGAAAGCTGGGAAGGAGGGGTTTTGTGTAGCCGGTTAGAGAAGAAAAGAAGAAAGGCTTCCTTAAATAAAGGGTGGATACCTTCTGTTTCTTAATCATTCGACAGCAGGGTTTTCTGGAACAATGCTTTAGTCTCCAGACAACTAGACAAAACGGGATGAAAGTGCCCAAGGGGAAGGAACCACCCTATTCTCCATGCTTGAGGACAAGTTGTTATCACTCACTGTGTTAGACTGAACTGAAGTCTTGGTCATTTTCAGATGGATTCCCTTTCTTATTTTTTTTAACGTTGCTCTCCTTTCGGTACTTGAAGAGTCTCAGTCACCCTGCAACACAGAATGGATCGGTCCTGAGATTTCTCCCCTTAGGTTTATAGCATGCTTAAACTCCATGGTTAGGATTCATCCCCTCTCATTTTAGGCGTTCATGGAACAGACACGTAGGTATTATTTTGCTTGTTTGAACGGATCTGTCTAGTGTGCCCAGAAATGCCCCTGACTATCTGACGTGTCTGCCTGAGGCTGAGAGGAATGATAGAGGACCTATAGGAAACTTGAACTGCTTTGGAGCAGGAAAAAGATGCTGGATCACCTAAAATGACACCAGACGCCTCTAGTCTAGGGTCACAGCTCCATTGCTAACAGATGAGACATATGAGATCAACCCTTCAGTAATTTCTTCTAAAGCTTTTAGATGGGGTTTTACTCATTTGCCCATGCACCGGTGCCTCGCACCACTTGAGATGTGCTTTGGTGTCCAAGGTAAGTGCGTGGGACTGGCAGAAAGGACATGTTAAACCTGGCTTTCTGCAGTAGTAAATCAAGGCCATGCTCACTACCCCTGGGTATATCAAATGACACCAGCTGTCTGCAATTAGGAAATGGTTTGTACCTTTACGGTTAATAGTTAGAAAGAGCGACTTGAGGGGATGAGTCTGTTCCCCAGGCTTTGAAACCTATGCTAGTATGAGATGACTTGTGCCCTTGAAGTGAATGTTGCTTCCACTAAAGTAGCTCAGCTATAATCCCCTACAATAAAGACAATGTTGTTTGGATAGACAACTCACACCTATCAAGGTTTCTTTGACCAATATCAGGATTGATACGTGTGCTCATCCACAGCTGCTATAGGGGGGGCAGCCTGTTGCTACAGTTTATACCAAGACCTAAGCTCAGCTATCTGAAAAGCTAAGAGAAACCTTAAATTGTTTTTACATCCGTAGTATGGGGTAATGTGGGAGATGATGGATGTATTTGAGCAAATGAGAGTACAGGGGAGGCAAAAACTCTACGTTGCTCCTTGACGCTAGTTTCTCCCTTGAGATGTCTTTAATAACTGTGACATATCCAACCTGGAATAATTAAGTTTCTGTGTTTGTTCAGCAAACTTTAGCCAAGAAATATGAGGGAAGCAGTTAAGTGCTGTGCACTACCACACCCATTCAAAGTTTAGGATGTGCTAATCAGAGGAACAGGGCAGGTTGTATCATTATGTGAAATCACCCACGGTAAGTTGCCCCCCAGCCTGAGGCACCTCGTTTTGGTGTCGAGATGGTTTTAGGTCTCTCTACGTGAACAGAAGAAAAGCAAAATCAGGGAGGGGTGGAAAAGAAGAGGTTCCTCTTCTGTGCTAATAGGCCCGTGCACATTTTGGACGTGTCTGATCACCTAGGCTCCATCGACGCTTAGTGGAGGGAGGCAGGCAGTTCTCAGGTATGATTCATCCCATTCTTGGGAAAAATAATTTTGAAAGTGCAAGGCTTCTCAGCCTAAAATGTATCAGTGGATCAAAGCCAATTTGACTAGTTGGACAGTTTACTTAATGGGATATAAAACCAGTTTATAGTTTGGATCACTTAAGCCACTGGGAAAAATGTCTCATTACACAAAAAGGACAAAATAACTTGGCATCACTGAGGACAAAGAATCAGGTCTCCAGCTGATGTGAAACTGGTGTAGCTCCAGCAAAGACCAAGTGGCCAAGATTTACGAATAAATCATTCTTCATGTACAAAACTTCCCTGGGCAGTTAGCTCCAGCAAAGACCAATGGGCCAAGATTTACGAATAAATCATTCTTCATGTACAAAAGCTCCCTGGGCAGTCCTGGGGTAAACCCACCGTATTCCATTGGCAGCTACGGTGCCAAGGACAGGCTGCTCTACAAGGGAAGGTGAGCTAGGAACTGAGGGTCACAGCGAGGGAGGAAGGTTGCTACATCACCAACAAGGAGCCAGGAAGTCAAAGCAAACTCAGGGTAAGAATCAGGTCTGGAGATTGTAACCAGCATCAGCCAGGAGTCCAGTGATCACCCAGCAAACCTGAGGTGACACTTCAGATCCAGTCAAGCCAATGGGACAGGACTGGTGTCAGGAAGGAGGAGGTACAAGGCTTGCCACAGACAGAGCTGCAACACAGCTCCTGCGTGGCACAGATGGGAGCCGAGGACAAGAGTCTCAGTTAAAAGCAGTTCCCAAGTGGAGGTGGCGTTATGACCATGTTTCTTAAAGACAGCTCTTATCAGCAAGCCATCCTTAAGCTAAATTAGAAAGGCGGAGGTGCACTGCAGTCCCTCATAAATGTAACTTCTATCCTACTATGGTGAATATGCACCAACCCCAATAAAATCTCAGCCAAATAGCCATCCAGTTCAAGGCATTGTAGCTGTGCTGCAGTAAAGAATTGTACTGGGCACAATTGGCAAGGTTTTGGTTGAGGGGGGGAGGAGGAGGGCTACCGGGGTGACCTCTGAGGAAGGAGATCATGAAGTGCCCTGTACTGATGATGGCTGGTTCCAGTCAGCTCACCTCCTTTGAACAAGAGGAGTTTGTAGCACTTCTGTGACAACGTATTTAAGAAAGAGAAGTAAACGCCGAGAAAAAGGAACAGCAAGGTCAGAGCAGTAGGAGGTGCTCCACGGAAGAGCAGGTACTCCCCAAAGGGACTGTTGCCTATGAATAAGACCATGCCAGAAAAGGTACTTCCCCAAAGGGACTGTGGACCATAGAGGACCCATTCCGAAGCAAAGGAAACAAGCAAGAAGGAAGAAGCAGAAGAAGAAAAGT